TTCTTTTTTGTTATCATCTCCTATCTCCTTTCTAAGACAGAACTTCCCTTTGGTAAACTTTCCTCTAGCTTCCTTTTGTTCATGCCCTTTTAATTTGGGTGGTCTTCTGCATTCATCATTTTCCTTACCTAACCCACTAGGTACCTTCCCCTTTTCTTTTGTACCAACATCAGTTCCAGTTTCCCCTTCTTCCTTCTCTAATAGCTTCTCGTGATTCACTGTCAGGATTCCTCCCTCCTCCCTATCTTTATCTCCTCTCCCAACTTCTCCTTCCTCACAAAGGTCATTATCCGCCACCAGTGAAGTTTCTACGACTAGAACTGCAAAAACCAAAAGTTGAGGATTACTACTAGGAATAATATCAATTGAATTTTGAGAGTAAAAAGGGGAGGAGAGAATTGAAGAAAGGGAAAGGGGGGAAGGAACTCCCTGATCCTAAATCTGGTTTCCGCCGACCACTCCAAAGACAAACCCTGATGGTTCAAGTTCAGGTTCAGTAGCCACCTGTGCAGCTAGGGGGATCTATTCCTCAAGTGGTTCCATGTTTGGTTTGCGATGGGAACCCAACTCCTCAAGCCCGTTACCCTGCCTTTGATCTTGCTTTGTTTCTACTTTCTACCCTCTCTGAGAATCATCAAGAGACCTCCCACTCTCTGCAGAAGAGTCACCAATCCCCAAATCCTATAGCTCCAGAACTTCCATACTAACTTCTTCAATAAAAAGGAGTTTCGTTCCATAGTCCTCAAGGTCTGTAAAGTTACAAACCTTTGTTGAGTCGGGACTGCCAATATTCGACGGCTGATCCACTTCTTCATCACCCACATCTCTCAAGTCCTCCCAGTCGGAGTCATATTCAAAGTCCCCTTGCGAATCCCTATTGTATCTAGGGTTCGGCTTTTCAGGCGTTGTGGAGTTCTCTTCAGTATCCGTCCTCCATTGAAGAGTCTTTCCTTATGTAGAAGAGGTGCCTGCAACCTGAGAAAGAGAGGGAAGAAGGTTGTCGTTCCCGTAGGCGCACAGGCGCACAAGTCCCGAAAGGTCGATGGGGATGATGATAGATCGCACCTATCGTCCCCCAACTGCGTACCAAACCTTTGCACGTGAGAAATAAGAGGGTCACATGACCCAACTAAGCTCTTTGCAATCGGTTTTAAAGCTTGGGTCGGTTTATCTAGCCCCAACCCAAGATTCCCAATTTTCTTTGTGAAATGGGCGCAAGAAGGCCCGTTTCTCTATCTCAACACCTCAGAGTAAGATTTTCTTTGGACCATTGGATCCCATTCAAATTTTTTCGAAAAATCTCCCCTAAATGGCAAGGAGTGCTTCTTAAGGCTATCCCCCGACTTTTCAGTTTCCATAATTCCCTGGTCAGCTTGACCTTTCGGGCGGTCCACCCAGCTCTTACCACATGGCCTCCAAGAGTCCACGTCAGCGTCTTCTTCCTTCAAATTGTTCCAAAGATTTGCTTCGACTTCTAACACCAACCACACCATTCTCCAACAATCAACAACAAAGATATCCATACTCCTTGGGAATTTTTCAGATTTTACTCCTGCCACTTTGATTTTTGTCGCTTGAAGATTTTCCATGCAGAACCCTTCCAAAACACCACCACAAGCCACTGCTATTTTGTGGAAAAAGTGTTCTTGCCAGAGGTTAAAGGGTAACCCCAAAATCTTGATGACTATGGTCTTCTGAGAGATGTTCGATTCATTGCAGAAAAGCGACCAGTTTTCCACTGCAATCTGGCCATATTTTGTTTCAAGGATTCTGTTCTCAAACTGAAGCTCGGCCATGTCAAGTATTGCTTTACATCTCTCAAAAAGGATAAGGGTGAATTTCTCCTTTGGCTGAAACGTCTCCCTCAAGATTTGCCAAACTTCTTCCCAATTCTCAACCTCTTTTTTTACCTTCACTACCTTCCTCTTGTTCCATTCCACATTCCTTCCATCCCACAATATTTTCGGACAGGTATCTGTTGAGAGTACTGTTATGGGAGTAGTCACTTTATTTTGTTTTAACTAGCTTGTTTTCCCAGTTAAACTCTCATTTGCCCCCACGATTTTTGTTCTTCCCTCTGAGTTTGCTCTTCAATACTTAGGATCACCCATTTTCCCTGGTTGAACTCCTCAAGAGCACCTACGATCTTCTTCCACCCCTGTTTAGCTTGTCCCTCTGGTAGGCATACTAATTGTTTCCTCCCTTTGCCATAGAACTCTGTTAACACAATAAAACCTCCATTTCTGTTGTAAATCTCTTTCCCTTGTTTATCATTTCATTTCTCCAACCTTGTATTCTTTCTACAAGTAGTAAACCATCTACAAAACCTTTAAACCAGTCGACTACTTCTGAGTCCATTAGGATCGTTGCTCGTTGGTCTTCTCTTATTTTTAGACTCTTCTTCCCCCTATTTGCTATCTCCTCCATGAGGATCTTCTTCTTCTCCAGCTGAAATACTCTTTTCCATTTTGTCGCTTGAACAAAGTTCTCCGTCTCTCGATTCTCCATCAGTAAGGTGCTAGGCACTTTGATTGTCTTTGGACTATTTTTGGTTACAATTTCTTTTTCTTTTTTTTTTTTTTTTTGAATGGGAGATTGGGAGTTCTTAGGACATCTAGGAATGCGATGATGATTGAAGCAAAGATTTCACCTTCGAAGAGATAAGGATCAGAGGGCTGAAGAGCTTGAAAATTAGGGAGGCAAAGAAAGCCACAATACTGCTGGAAGGTCTGGAAGTGATCGAATGGATGCAGAAGTTCATTTTAAAAGCAAGTTCTAAAGGTAAACAAGTGAACTTTATGGAGTTCAACTTAGATGGAAGAAAGAGATATGAACTGGAATGTAAAAAGAATGCAAAAGAATGCCACATAACTCTGCAGGAATTCTTTGGAGGAAGAAAGAAGCAGTTAGTTTGCTTCCCATAAGGTAGAAGGGGTAATGGATGGAAGGTTGTGGCAGAGTTACTGAGTGATTTTACTCAACAGCTGAAAACAGAACAAATAGAAGCTATAGCAAAGGAAAAGAAAGGGGGTATACAAAAGAGAATGGAAGACCCCAGTGACAGAAACTGGTTGATTGCAGAAAAAGGAAAAAGAAGTTCTAAACTACAGTAGAAAAGGAGAACTAGGGGAAGAAATTTGTGGTGGAAACTTCAAGCCCACCAAAGGATTGGAGGGGTATTGCGCAGGCGATACTCAGAGAATTGAACCCGCCAAAGCCGATGGTGATTACACCTTATGAATCTTGTAAAGCTCTGATAAATCTAGGTGAAGTTGAAGTAGAGATTTCAGCTTTAAATATTCACTCAGAGGCTGGTGTTGCCAGACTCAAAATGGTGTCCTCTCTCTAATACCAAAGTTTTGAGGTTGAGGACAACGTAATAGTCAAACTGCTTGGGTTACCTTTCAATCTCTGGAAGGAGGAAGTATTACAGTCAATAGCTATAATCTTTCGTGCGATATTAGATAGTGTCCAATTGGATATATTCAATTATGGTCAGATCACACTATTTTTCTAAAAAGGAATGATACTTCATTGACCATTTTGATCGTATACGTAGATGATATAGTGATGACCAAAAATAATACATATGAGATTTGATTGTCTCAAGCAATTTTTAAGCTGTAAGACAATGGATTTATGGAAGTACATAAACCCAGTTGACCTGGCAAGATCGCAAGTCAAATCAGACTAGTCCAGGTCCATTATTCATAATTAGAGTTATTGGCAACAACTTAGTACTAGAACATTCTAGAATATCAATTGAAGGATAAAACAGGTAAATTTCCAATATAAGAAAATTCTAGAACTTATGAGGCCTAAAGATAATATAAATAGGGCCCCCATACCCATATAAGAACCCAACACCAATACACCTAGCACCCTACAACACATTGAAAAGACCCATTGTGAGGAGGGAGACCCAGATTTCCTCTCTCCTCCCCTCTCCCTCTTTGCAATCACCAACAGACCTTCACCGCTAGTCTCTCCAGACTTTCGGAGGCCTTACCTACATATAGAGTTGACCTTGCTTACATGAGCAAAGAGTTTTAGATTAAAGATCAAAGAGTTAATAGAGTTAAGGTACTTTTTGTGAATAGAGATAGTTCAGTCCAAGCATGGTTTCTTCGTATTTCAAAGAAAATATGTACTTGATTTACTTCAAGAGACAGGGAAGATGGTGGTTTAACTTGTGGATACACCAATTTATCAGAACCGCAAGTTAAATGCAAGAAGGGGAGAACCACTTAAGAACAGAGCTATGTATCAATGACTTGTAGGCAGATTCTTTTATCTTTGTATGACATGATCTCATATAGCTTATGTATAGAAACACTATATTTGAAAATCATCTTCACCTATGACTTGCACATTTTTAAGATATATGTAATGATTTAATGAAATCATTGTGAATGATAAAGGAGGGTGGGCCTTGGCACAACGGTTAGGCTGCTCCATTTCGAGCTGGGTGACCAGAGTTCAAATCTTAGAAACAGCCTCTCTGTATTGCATGGGTAAGGCTGTGACATCTGTCCCTCCCCAGATGCCGCAATGGCAGAAGCCTTGTGCACTGGGCTGCCCTTTGCCCTTAATTATTAGTGATAAAGAAAAAGGTTAAAATAATAGCTACCAAAGCCCTGAATAAGGAAAGAACAAAGAAGGATAGCATCGCTTTTTTGATAAATAAAAATAAGGATAACATTTTTACTGTTAAAATAGGGAATAAAAAGAAATGAAACTACCATAAAGAAATAGAGACTATTGTTTTTATCTTCTTTTTGGGTGATTTCATATCTCTCCCTTGTTATCCTTTTCTCTTCTAATAAAATTTTTTATTTTAAGAAATAGAAACCACTATCAAACTGAATCAAGGAGAAAGCAAGAAAAAAATATCAGTTATAAACAAAAAGATGAAGTAGAAGGAAAGAACCCTCAAACTCAAAAAGAAGAGGAACCAAAGTATCAAAAAAAGGCAGAGGAACCATGGTACCAATTTTTACCTAATATCCATGAGGCCATATGCTTGCATGTGATCATGATTAAGGAGGATTAGTGGAAGAAGATCAACACGTAGTGATTCCAGCCCCATTTGCTCCAATGTGTGAAGAAACTTCTGCCTTATGCTATCACAACAAAATGGCTTACACTTTACCACAAGTCTGGAATTTGGAACTGCACACAGTATACGTGCCCAGACTCTCAACACTTTCGGAGTAATCTGGGAAAAGAAATACATGAATGAAAACAAGAATATTGTGCAAATAAAAAACACAAGCATATAACTATTCCAAGAGACGCAAAAAAAACTTCCACCATAAATAGAGATCAACTACATAACATTACTGTTCTAATATTAAGACCATTACCTTTGCAAGATTGTTAAAACTCCCAAAAGTAACAAAACCATTAGAAAGAGCAGGCATTGGTAAAACAGGCCCAGCTTCAGGAGATGGTGTGTAACAAAGGAAACATTCAGGTAACCGAACCAACTCCTCAACATGTCTGAATATAGTTTTCAATAGAAAAAGAAAAAGAAAAATCATAATAGGTACATTGTAATATGAAGCATCATAAAAGAAACTACTCAAGAAAATCTTGACAAAGAAAAAAAGAGTATAGCAGCAAAAGGCAATACTAAGGCCTACTTCTGCCTTGTGTTGGGAGGGTCAGCCAATGAATCAGTGATTCTATAATCAATGGTAGGCAGACCTGTTGTGTTCGGATAGCCAATCCAGGTTGCCTGCAGTAGAAGGAAGACATGTCAATGACAGAAAAGTTAACAGTACTAAGGAAATTCAACTTTCAGAGCAAGGAAATATGATTCATGAATTATAATAATGCAAGCCATGATAATGCAAACAACGAAGCAGCCATTTTATCATATAGCACATATAGACTGTTTCCTGCAACTCTGACAATTAAATTTTAAAGTTCCCATGGAAATGTATGTTGTTCATGTTCCTCACCTTGTGTATGTTGTTCATGATAAAATTTTAAAGTTATGTTGTTCATGTTCCTCACCTTGTGTATGAATAGCCTGCAAAAAATATTGTCCATTTAAGAAAAACAAATATTTTGTTCTTAGTTTTTCTATCTGATTTCAAGGCTTTCAAAACCCCTACCACCACTTGTTGGATGTAATCTCCCAGAAGCATTAATCTCACCATACTGGCTAAGTCTCAACTCAAGATACAATGCTTCAACTTGAAACGCGCACCTCAGAAAAGAGTTCTCAGTTACTAGAGGCCAGACTTTAAAATGTCATCAATGGTACAGTCTCTGAACGGTCTTTGACCTTTTTAGTCATAGGTGGATTGTGCCTCTGCAGATTGAAAATCTCTTTGACCCCGCAACCTTCAGCTGGCCAAAGAAGAGAGGTAAAGTCATGTGGACATGCCTTAGGGCCGCTTTGATATGGACGGTGTGAGAAGAGAGAAATGGCAGTCTTCAGTGACAGAGAAAGGAGTGTGGGAGTGTATTCTAAATAGAACTATACATTGCATTAAAGCCTCAAACCTGTTCTCAGATTTCTCTGTTGATAACTTTTGGAAAAACTGGGGAACTGTAGCTAGAAGTTCTACCGCAAGGAACAAACAAGTGGTAGCTTGGGAACCCCCTGATGAAGGCTTTATCAAGTTGAACTTTGATGGCAGCATCCTAGCGAACCCAGGTCCAGCTGGTATAGGAGGGATTTTCAGGAATAACGAAGGACATATTGTTGCTGTCTTCTCATGACCGGTTGGAATAGGGGACTAGTTTTTGCAGAGTTCCAAGCAGTCTTGCAAGGAGTACAGATTGCTAGACGGCTAAATTTTGACAGACTGCTCATTGAAGGTGACTCTAAATTGATAATAGGGTGGCTGAAGGAACCAGAATCTTCTAAAACTCTATCATTTATCAAAAAAAAAAGTAGTCTCTGAACTCTTCCTTGCTTAGGATCCAATGAGCTACCTGAGTCTTCTAAAACCACATTTTATACCACCACCTGTCTCTACAATGTCACATTCTCCACCCCAAACCTCCAGTACCTACTTCCCTGAAGGACGAGGACCTGTATCCCACTTTACTGAATAAAGCCTTTCCCTTTCCAACCATCTTAAAGGAAGTCCCTCCAAATTTTCTCAATTTGATCAGTCATAATAACCAGAAGTTCAAAAACTGCCAAGCAATAGAGAGGCACACTTCAGAGAGCACTTTTCGAGTTTTAAACCTTTAAATAGAGTAATTCTTCCTCTAAGTGAAAGATACCTGTACTGCTAACTTGCTTATCTTATTTTAAGTCTTTCCAACACTGGTTGTCAACCTATTCAAATTCCCAGGGTCACCTAGGGATTTCTTTGGGGTTAGGGTTAGGGTTTTCGTTAGAGGCGCTCTCACAGGGATTTCTTTGGGGCCGGCTCCCTTCAGGGAGTCCTGAAGGGAGCCGCCCTTCTGGGCTCTCCTTCCTCTTTCCCTCTCTCGGTTTTGAGAGAGCCTTTCTCTCTCGAGTTTTCTCGAGGTTTCCTCTTGAGTTTTCTCAAGCTTTTGGGCGATTGTTACTGGTGGATGTGGCTTTACAATTGCCGTCTTTGTTTGAATCTGTTTGTGGTTCTCAGGCAGATACTGTTCAAGGTGGTTTCCGTTTGTAGTTTGCCCAACAATGGCGGTCGTATGGATTTCTACTAGCAGATTCGCTCGCTGTATGTGGTGGATTGGAGATGTGAGTTTCTACTTCTGTTGGTGACGTTTATTCACCTTTATTTGGTTGCAGAAGTTCTTTATGTTCTCCTTCATCCATTTCTATATTTTGTTCTCTTGAGAAATTGTTTCTGGGCTTTTTTTATTGGCCTTTTCGGCTTTTTTTGTACCAATTTCTTGATTGAATGAAATATGAAGCCTATGGGCAGTTCAAAAAAAAAACCTATTCAAATTCCCAAATAAAGAAAATTGCCAAGTCACCAGACCAATGCTGCTGCAAAGTGCTCAAAGAATTCAACTTCACTATCCGCAACATCAATAGGATTCCAATCTGGGTAGGGTTGGGTTGGAAATTTGTTAAATTTTGAATGGCCCTAGCCCGATGTAGTTTAAATTCTTAAAATTGGGTAACCTAACTTGCACCCCCTATACACCAACTCAAATACCCACTTCATTCTTTCTCCATGATTTGCATTTTGTACATGCAAGCCAGTCATCTATTTTATCATTTAATAGTAATAGATTATTAGAACCAGCATAAAGTAACTTGGCCCTATCTTATGATTTGAAAATTCCACATATGTCAAAGAACTGCAAGCCAGTCATCTAAACAACACAAACTGATACACCAACAGACAAGGCAAACCAGAAACTATGCTGAAAAATATATAAAAGAAATCTGTGAATATAAACAACTATAAAATAAAATATACCTGGATTGGTGCAGGTCTACAAGCCATCATTCCTAACCTATTGTTTGCTGTATGACCAGTAAGCTCTACCAAGATGTCAACTTTGTCTTCTCTGACAATGCTTGCAACCTTCTTCTCATCAATCCCATAAATATCTCTCCATATACCACCTTTTCTCAAAAGAGTTTCTCGAAACCTATTTGTTTTTGCATCCGCCTAAAACACCATAAACAGATAATTAAAGTCAATATTAGTGCTGCAAAAGAAACAAAATGCTTGTAAGCACCTCTTACTCCAAATAGAAGTATAAATCTCATTTTTATGCTGGATTTGGTTGGGGGTGTAGGGATTTTAAGCAAACGTTCTTACTTTTGCAAGGCAACAAGACAAAAGAAATGAAAATAACAACTACGCCTCAAGAAAAAAAATTAAGTACAAGGACAAAGCCTTGCTAAATTATCTGCCAATATTTCATCCACACTAGCTACATCCCCAAACAAACCTAAAACCTGTAACTAAGGCCTTTGTTTCAAACAATGTAGGATATGCACCAACTCCCTTCATTTTGCTCATCCAGTGGCATTGCAAGAAATGCTCTCTAAACTACAAGATAGTATGGCATTGCTTAATGTTCCTTACCAAAGCAAAGCACAATATAAAAAAAAGGAACAAAAAAAAAGAAAAATGGCAGTAGACAAAAAATGAAACATGAATTTTAATAGTTAAATGTTTTAAAAAGTTTATTGGTTAAGATACATAAGCATGATTTATAAAACATATTTACAGAGTATATGTGGAAATGAAAGCAAACATGTGGACTGTACCCAAGTGCTTCAAGCACTCATCAATTCAAGCATGTGACACTTCCAATCAGTTTATGTATCTCCTGTTGCATTGAATTGGCTAGTATGATGTTAAACATCTTGCATTCCAAATCCTAAGAGATTGGTCCTCTGCCTCTGTAAAGACCCCTTGAGGCAAGCCCAAACAAATCCATGAGGGGATTTCAAGCACTGACACCAGCCTAAATTTCCCACATATATAAAGGGGTTACTTTTGTTTAGGATTAGGGATAAGATATTAGTTGTATTGTTGCTGCTTCTTTAGTGGAAATTTTGCTATATGAGATCCTATTTGCAAGAACTAAGACTTCAGGTATTTGAAAGGTCTTTGTTTTGTTTATTATAAAAAGTAATAGACTAGGGATGATCATGGGTCGGGCCTAGGCTGGCTTTTTACATTAACAACATTAAGGCCTGCCTGGACCCAAAGCCTGATATATATAAGGAAGTCTAGAAATTTTCTCCTTTTTTGAATTTTTTATTTTTTTAATCCACTTTTTTTGTATCTGACAAATGGAATTCATGTATCTGATCCATTCTTGGCAACGTCGGATGGCTTTCCAAGAGCCATCTTTTAACAAACCACGCATCTCCCACTTCCACTCCCAATTAATAGGTTTAAAGTGGACTTAGAATCACTCACAATTCTAAGTTGTGATATAATAGTGAGAAATTACTAACAAATAGGACTCTTGATCTGCACTATATTTCCCTAACCCAATTTAATGAGAAAGCTTCCGTTCCAAGTGACAGCAAAGGGGATATTTAGAGATTCAAAGATCAAGAGCTTGATCTTTCAAGTTTAACGTGAAAACAAGGGGGCAATTTGAATTTAACGTAAATACTTATCAAAAACTTTTGAATTTAACATAAAAACAAGGGGTCTTGATCGTGGACAAAGCTTGACATCAAAACAAAGGCAGACCAAACTTCTTCACATCGAACATAAAAACAAGGGGTCTTGAGTTTGTTTTTGGACACTAGTTTCAAGGATCAACAACATTGTGCCACAGACACCAGTTTCAGGAATTAACGAAGCTATGTTACAGGTATGTATTTGGCTCTGCATATAGAAAACAGGGGTTCCGCCTCATTCTCCTTCTCAAATATATAACAGGGGCTTCGACCCATTCTTCTTCTTCTTCTCTACAAATAAATATACAACCTTACTTTCAAAAGAGAAAAAATAAAAAGAAAATTGGATTCCATGAAATTGATCCTTCCAGGTGGAGAAAACGATGGGTAATGTTGCTTTTTAGAGGACGTTTATGTTCCAAAATGATAGAGACTTGATTTCAAAATTTGGTTTGCTAAAGATATTTAGTTTAAAAGACGTTTCCTAAAAATTGTAGGAAGTTCTTGAATGGGCGCTGTGATGGTCTGTAGAAATTTTGGAACAGCAATGGTTTTCCAGGTATGCATTCAACAAACTTGAGATTTTTCGCACTTTTTTTCATCATTTGGTCGGCTTTTAAATTTAAGCTATCTCCTAGGGAATCTTTATCATCCATGGGACACTAGGGTGCGAAAAGGTGAACTTTTATGAACCCTAATATGCTATTGTATTCACTATTTCGAGACTCCGAACGAATATTGTAGCATGGTATCGGGTCAAGAAGACGAAACACAAGCGTCGGATCATTTGCATATCTTACAGCACGACCCGCGTATATGCTAATTAATGTTATGTCACTATTCAACAATTCAATCGATCAATTCGTAACGTATGGTTATGTTACTATTAATTAATATAAATTTTATTACAATTACCACTTAATCAATTGTTTGATTAACTTAGTTTACAATTAACATAAATTTAAGTAACAGTAATTATTAACAATAAATAGTAACAAATGATTTATTACTGTTAACAATGATAAGTTATTAAATTTAATTAATAGTTGTTTTTTTTATGAATAATAATAAATTTATTAATTCAGAAGCAGATTTAGAGTGAGTTCATACAACATGCCAGGGAGGGGCGCGAGCTGCAGCCCCTCCTTGAATCTTACAAGTAAACTAGGAAAGAAAAGCAAGAATCACAACTAAGACCAAAACAATTCTTCCCTATTTACCCCTTGCTTAGCTAACACATCTAACATGCTGATCTCCCCACTCATTGTATAGTGACCAACATATTCCTTGTCAACCAACTAAATTTCTTCATTTCATTCTTGTAATGCCACATAGCCTCTTCAGAATTTTTCAGCCAACCCACCACCACTTTGGAATCCCCCTCGATTGTTAGGTGTTGTACCCCCAGCTGGTTTGCAAATTGCACCCCTTGTACAGCAGCTAAAAGTTCTGCCCTAATGGAGTCCCCAATCCCCAAGGGACCTGAGTAGAGCAACAAAATCTCTCCCTTCACATTTCTCAAAGCACCCCCCATTTCGGATAATCCTGGATTACCCATGCTACTTCCATCAAAGTTCAACTTCAGTGAGCCTTCGGATGGAGGAGACCCGCTTGTAATTGATTTGTCCTTTAAGGGTGAACACCTCACTACTGCTGACCAATTTCTCCAAAGGTCATTAAAGGAGAATTGATGAAAGATTTCTAAGGTCTTCAGCCAAAGTATTGCCCTATTTAACAGTCTTTCAATTCCCGACTGCTCATTTCCTTTCCTTGAAAAATTCTAACATTCCTTACTTCCCAAAGAGTCCAAATCAAGGCAGCACGGGCACTTCTCCACATAATTCTCCCTATTTTTGTAGGCCAATAAAAGGTAGAATAGTTGAAGAGCATGTGAACTTCTGCCGATAGACTCCAACTACTCCCAAACAACAAAAGTAGCCAAGCCCAAAGGTCTGCAGAAAAAGAACAAGATATTAATAGGTTGTAACAATCCTCACTGTGAGCTCTACAGAGGATACACCGATTAGGAGAAATACAGAGGAAAGGTCTTCTCTTTTGTAGGTTATCTAGAGTATTTACTTTCCCATGGAATACTTCCCAACAAAACGCCATAATTTTTTGGGGAATTGGCCTACACCAAACTTCTTTTGACGGAAAGAGTTGGTGAGTAGAAAGTTGAGAGATGGACTTGAAGAAAGAAGCATAAGTGAAGGTTCCATTGGGTCTAGGAGTCCATACCCTCTTATCTGGCTTGGAGGGATCCAAACAAACCTGATTAAGACAACCAAGCAAGACAGAAAGAGATACAATTTCATCATCCCTAAGTCTTCAACGAAACCCAAAATCCCAAGTAGGATCTAAGGGTGTTCCCAAAGGTGAGACAAATTTTGAGACCACCTCTTTTTTGTACAAAGAAACAAAAAATAGTGAAGGGAACAGATCCTTTAAAGGTGTGTCTCCTACCCAAATATCCTCCCAAAAATGAACAGTGTTGCCAGAACAAACTTCATACCTGATAAAATTGAGGAATTGAGGAAGGGTGTTGTGAATGGCCTTCCAAGGTGTTGCGCACAATATTCATTAATAGTTGTTAATGAATATTGAATTAAATATAATTAATAGGTAATTAATGGTAAATTATTAGTAGAAATTTTATGTTAATTTACTAATAATTAGTAGACAAATTGCTAAAAAGAACAGTTAATTAATAGAACATTTATTATAACATCATCTTTTAAGTATAATTTTTTAAATTTAATTTTCAGGAAATATATTATTAGAGTTAATTAAATATTCAGGAAATTAATTTTCTGAAAATTAAATATTCCAATAACATAATCAGAATTAAATATTTTCTGAAAATAATTTTGTGAAAATTAAGTATTGCAATAAAATACCGCGATTAAACATTTTTCTGAAAGTAATTCAATAAATATCTGAAAACATATTTCCGAAAAACAATTTGAAAAAAAAAATAACTGGAAAATAACTAATGATTACTGTAATTATATAATCAGAAGAAAATTTTAATAATTATTGTTATCGTAAATGATTACGTAATTTATTTATAATTTAAATAATTTAATTATAATGTAATTTTTTTTTAATAATTTAATACTTTAATGATAATTTTCTGAAATGAATTTAATTTTGGTAAGTTAATTTTCTGAAAATTCGTTTAATAAATTAGTTTTCTAAAACTGATAATAAGTATTATAATTTAATTAATAGAGTAAATTATTTACACTAAATATTCCAATAAATTTATGAATAATTAATTACTGAAACTACAAAAATTTCAGTAAATTAGATTTTCTTTGAATTAACTTTCACTAATTAAATTATAAAAACCATGAAATTATTTTATGGAAATCAATAAATTAAAATTTCCCAATAAGTATTAAAAACCAATGTAAATTACCATTAATTATGAAAATTATTAAATTTTCCAATTTAATAAAATTAATCAATCTTTTGATTTTCCTATGCATCGCACGGGGCCCCGCTAGTATATTAATA